GGGGAGGGCCAGGCTGCAGGCAAGGCGCCACATGATGGCGAGGCCTGGCGGGCGGCGCGAGCGATGAGCCAAAAGCTGCATGTCAGCACGCATCCTCAGATACCCCTGCATGCTCATGTACATTGCAACAATCACGCCCCCTGCAAGATGACGGGTGTCCCTACACCAGATAGCTTGCGCGTGCTGCTGCCAAAACTGACATGATATGACAAGAAAGAGATACGACGCGAAGAGGGAAGAGATGCCTCTGAAGGCGCTTCCTCGGAGGGCTGAGGCAGGCTCTCTGAGGCACCTTCAATAGGGTTCCTGGGTGACCTGGGAGGCGCGATGCTCGTTCGACATTGTTTCGATACCTCTGGGTGCTCGGAATTAGTTCTGGGGCCCTTTTAATGTGGTCTGTCAGCGCGATGGGAGCAGCACGGCCCAGAATAGCAAAGCGCGTACCAGGGGGCAGCAGGATGAGGTTGCGGAAAGCGGGGCAGGCAGAGAGCGGGGGCGCGCAGAAGCTCCAGGGCCGGGCGGGCTCGGCGCGGACACGCAGACGCGCGCCCCCGCCGATCGGGGGGACGGAAACGCGTACGGAAACAGTTGGTACTCCAGGCTGTTGCGAAGCGTCATGGCTCGCCTCGTCTCACCGTCGTCAATTGTCCCTTGTCTCACCGTCGTCAATTGTCATGCATGGCGGCGCCCCGGCGCCCACCTGCAGCGCCCCCGCGGCGCCTCGACTGCAGGCCGATGTCCGATGTCCGATGTCATGGCTCGCCTGTGGGCCCACCAAAGAATGTTCTCAGAGCCTTATGTGGTCTGCGCGGAATGCTCTTAGAACATGTTTGGTTGAGACTGGTTTGTTTCAGCACATCGGGGCTATGTTCTAAGAACGTTGTTTCCGTTCTTAGAACTTTATGCTCTGGGCTATGAGACTATATTCGTGGTAGTGTCTATAGGAATGCCGGAACGGCCGGTTCCTGTGTAAGTACAATGTCCAACAGCAGTTCTTGTACATTCTGAAAAGGATTCGCTGTCGGCCTCGCCGCCGACCTGAGTCACCCAGAGGGCAGGGCTCTGCGGAGTCCCGCCAGCGCTTCGGGCACCTGATCCCAGCGGCCTCCGTGTTAGCGACCAAGAAAACTCGGGACGATCGACATGGGTACGGAAAGAATGGGTACAACGACCGACAGCACCCCTTGTCCGTTTTGAGCAGGACTCGTTGTCGATGCTCGCGTGCCCAACAGCGGCCTCTGTTGGTTTGGGATAACACGTGTTGCTGGGCATCGTACCCGTCTTTTCCCTGCCCATGTCGGGCGTCCACAGCCCCAGGCGCGGCTGTCCCTGATGGAGTCGTTCATGGCCGCGGAGAGGGGCGTCAACGGCAAGGCGGAGGCATCTCCGCCAGCGGCCGCGGAGGGACGCCGCAAGGGGGGTGTGAGGGCAAGTCCCTCTCCCGCTCCTCCTCCTCCGCCTCCGCCTCCTCCGCCTCCTCCTCCTCATCCTTCCCCCTTTCCTGAGAACGCGGGCAACTCCCCGGGCTCGCAGCACCTCGCAGGCCCACCCCACGGCACACCCGCGCTGGAGTCGCCACGCCCACCGTGCGCTGGACCCCACGAGGCAGTCTCGCCCTGGGCGGTACCGCGGGAGGAGCGGCAGAGCCACCCCACAAGCCCATCAGTTTCGGCGGCCCCGCCTACCTCGATTACGCGACCTGCTCAGGGTGCGAGGTGTTCGGATGACCCGACAGGGATCCCATGATGGATCTACGCATGGAGTTTTCCCTGATTGCCCTCCACCTGTCGGCCGACGTCCGCGTTGATCGGGTCTTGAGTGATGGACCTCCCCAGCATCGGCAAGGGGATCCGTGCACGTCGGTTTCAGCGGCTCCCTCGTGTTCGATTGCGCCCTCGGCTTCGATTGCTTCGGGCGTAACGCTCACCGCACCTGAGAATGCGGAGACCCCCTCGGGTTCGCAGCACCTTGCTGGACCAGCGCATGGCAGAGCCGCGCTGGAGCCACGCTCACCGTGCGCTGGGTCCCACGGGGCAGTCTCGCCCGAGGGGGGTTCGCAGGAGGAGCGGCAGAGCCGTGCCACACGGACATCTATGGCGCCTTCGACCTCGATGTCAGTGCCAGCGCAGCCAGGGCAGGAGGCGAGATCGCACGTGGATCAGCACAGGCCGATTGCTTTCGCTCGTTTTGAGGACCTCACTACTAAGTTTGTCCGACGTGCCCTAGCCAGAGCCATCGGCAAGGGCAAGTTGCAGTTCTCACGTTGGGTCCGTGCCCGTTGGAAAGATAAGGCGGGGGCCCTTCATCGATATGTCAAGGACCCGAGTGGGGAGGTATTGGAGTTGCAAGGCTCTGCGGACCCCAACGCTATTATGACTGCTCGTGCGGACTATTGGCGAAGGGTGTGGCAGGATCCAGTGGACACTGTCTCAGATATCTTGCTCGCCCTTCGCCGGGCTCGGCAATGTGCGCACGGCCAGGCCTTACCGCAACTCACTCTTTTCGACCTCGACTCAGCGCTCGCGCGCATGCCGGCCAAAAGGCCACGGGTGTTTACAATTTCACTGTTGATGACGTCGCCAGGCTGCCCAGGGCTGGGCGACAGGCCTGCGTCGATCTTCTCAACCTTTGTGAAGACAAATGGACATGGCTAGTGCAGGTTCACGCCACGCTCGGTGCTGTCGCCCCCAAGCCTCAAGGGGGGGACCGGGTCCTTGGATTCCTCCCTACATTGGGCAAGATCTGGTCCCACGTAAGGGCCTCCCAAGCCAACTGCTGGTCTGATGGCCTTGAGGCCCATAGGGATGCGGCTCTGGCGGGGTCCTCAGCTCTACGTGCTGCCAGGATTCGTCTTCTCATGGACGGGGCGGCCATTGCGAATGGCAAGCACGTCGCATGCTTGCTACTCGACCTGGCAAAGTTTTACGATGGCGTCTCGTTCGTTTTGCTTCTTCAGTTCGCTGGCAGAGCGAACTACCCCATGATCGTTGCACTCGCGGAGATTCAGATGTGCCTAGCCCCACGCCTTCGCAGGGCCAAGTCGTGGGTCAGTCCGCGCATTGGCCCCGCCCACCCCCTCGCCGCGGGGAGCCCGAGAGGGGTAAACCTCGCCAAGTTTTTTCTCCATCCTATTTTGACCACGTGCACAGTTTGAGCCCTGCCCCCGACCTGCGGACATACGTTGACGACACCTCCGCCCGCATGGAGGACGACGATGAGCAGGTCGTTGCAGTGGGGACCGTTGAGGTGGGAAAGGAGTTGGCGGCGCAGTTCCGTAAGTACCGTCTCGTACGATCGGAGAGGTCTACCTTGGTTGCTTCCGGCACGCGGCTTGGGAAAGTCATGGCCAGGGCCCGCCGCGTGGACGGCATCCCTATGATCTACTCCACGTGCGCCACCGACCTCGGCGTCGACGCGACCCCAGGCAGGCGTAGGGTTACCAAGAGGACTGCAGCCAGAAGCGTCAAGGCCCGCAAGCGTGTCGGGCGCATTCTTCGCATCAGAAAGTTGGGTGCCAAATTGCATCGCGAAACAGCGGGTCTTTGGTCCACATGCCCCAGGCCATCCACGGTCATGAAGCTGCAGGGCCCCCCCCCCTCCCTCTCGACTCCCAGCTATCACAAGGCAGGCCAGTGCCTCCCTGTCGGGGGCCAAGCGAGGCAGGTGCCCCACCTTTACGCGAGCGCGCACCGTGCAGGACAAAGACCCTGACCTACAGCTCCCCGCCAATCTCATACAGACGTGGTTTGGCATATAGTTTTCGCGCCCATAGTGGCGCCCGGCCATCAGGATGGAGTGGTCCACGATCAAGGATCGGGTCATCAGGGACTCCACGATCAATTGGAACTGCGTGCGCGGGCCTGTCGGCGCTATCATAGCCACACTCCACCATGTAGGATGGCAACCGAATTTCCCAGAGGCTTGGGAGCGCCCTACGGTTCAGGGCACCGATATTTGGACCTTCCCTACCTCTGGCTCCGAGGATTTCCGCAGGACCGACGCCACTGAGCTAATCGACGACTTCATCCACGACGTGTCTATGCTCATATGGCGCAAGGCCTCGGATCACACGACTCTCACGACCTTCAGAGGGGAGCTGACATGCTCGGGGTCGCCCGCGAGCTGCGACGCTACGAGGCCAATGGAGAGCAGGACTTGCGGGCCACTGCGCTCACAGTTGCTTCGGGAGGACAATGGCCATTGGCAATGCAGTTCGAGGCAGGTTATTCGCGCTCACGCGTCTGCAAGAGATGTGGACGAGGGCTTGGGACGGCTTACCATCGCGCGTGGGATTGCGAGAGAAATCAAGGCCACGAAGACTACGACATATGCCAGAGCCTCCTCCCCCGCGCTGCATCCTCCCATGAGGCTGAGCCTTCCGACTGGCTCCTCGGGGCCTTTATGAGCTCCCATACGAAGCGCGCTTTCTCGGAGGACATGGTCTTGGAGATGGGCTTCCACGTGTTCGGTGGCCCGAGTCTGCTGCGTAGGCCTCCCGAGACCCCGCTTTTGATTTTTTGGGGGGCTCTGGGGGCCATTGCAGTAGCGATCCTAGGCGTAAGCGTTGTGGCGTGGCCATGACCGCCCTCGAACAGGCCCCAGGTGACCCCGCCCGCTGGCTGCCTGTCCGGGGAGCGCGGGCCCCACTCGGGCCGGAGGCAGACGGTCCCCAGAGCGGGGCTTCGCGCTTTCATTCTTTCGTTGCAGCTGCTGCCTTTGCCATTTCAGCACTTCACGTACCATCTGGCACTCTGTGTTAGTATGGAAAGTTGGCAGATTCACTCGGCCCGCCCCGAAGGAGCATGATTCTGACCTCTGGAGGTTCTTTGTCGCCCGCAGGTCCTCCCCTGTCTCTCTTGCTTGGACCCCCTCCCACCTCGAGCAGGATCCCGGCCGTCTCTGGACCTGGGAGGAGGCGCCCGCGGCGGTCGGCAACGCAGCGGCCGACGCCCTGGCCAGCGAGGCCGCCGCCCGTGGCCTCTCCCCAGCCCTCCCCGCAGGATGGGACATTAGAGCGGTGGCCCGCGTCGACCTGGAGACGGCGCTCATTCGCGCCAGGCTGCGTCGCAGTCTGATCGGCACGCTTGAAGTTGACTCGTGGGAGGGGGAGTGGGCGGGGGGGCGAACAGACTCGGCCCTCCTGGTTGCGGCCGCCAGACCTTGCCCAGACGCCCGCCTGGGAGCTATCAGTTTCCCGACCGCCTCAGGCGCTGGTTGACGTGAAGTCACTGGCAATCGGCAACATTTCGGACCTTCATACCCTTCGTGCGTGTGTGTGCGTGTGTGTGTGTGTGTGTGTGTGTGTGTGTGTGTGTGTGTGTCTGTGTGTCTGTGTGTCTGTGTGTCTGTGTGTGTCTGTGTGTGTCTGTGTGTGTCTGTGTCTGTGTGTGTGTGTGACGTGTGGCCACACGGCCACCACCGACCCTCCCCACTTGGAACGCCCCTGCCCCCATTGTTCGCAGTCGCAATGGGCAAGAGAACCTCTCTAGGATTGCGAAGGGCAAATTTCCATTTTACAATTTTACAGGGTGGCGAGGGGGGTCGCGGACTCCGCCAGGGAATCCATCCCTGCCTGCCGTGCTCGTGCTGAGGGACAGGGCCCCCTTTGAATCCTGAATACTGAATCCCCCTCTCCATGTCCTACTCTTTCCCTCCTTTCCCTCATCCTCCGCCCCGTCCTCCCCCATCTCCTCCTTCTCCTCCTCCTGCTCCTCCTCCTCCTTCTCATCCACCTCCTCCTCCTCCTTCTCGTCCACCTCCTCCTCCTCCACCTCCTCCTCCTCCTCCCTGCCTGGCGCTCGCGTGGCCACTGCACCAAGAGCAGCCTGCAAGGATGGAAGGATTGCTCCAGAGATCTCCGACAGCACCCCCTCCGCGGGCGCGCGGCCGCTCCTCTGGCAGTGGCGCCAACCCCCAGGGACTCCAAAAAGTTCGTGCCCCGCCTCCTCGTCGTCGTCCTCCTCCTCCTCCTCCTCCTCCCTCCTCCTCCTTATCTTCTCCTCCTCCTCCTCCCCTCCTCCTCCTCCTCCTCCTTACTTCCTCCTCCTCCTCCTCCTCCTCCTCCTCCTCCTCCTCCTCCTCCTCCTCCTCCTCCTCCTCCTCCTCCTCCCCCTCTTCGTTTCAGTCGCCCCAGCCTTGCCGCCCGAAGCCCCAGGGGATCATCCCATGTTCGACTGCGCCGCCGCGCGTTTCCGCCGCCACGCTCGGGCGGGCCGCCTCGGGGGAGGGGGGGTCCTCGGGGCTTTCTTCGGGGCCTTTAGGCGGGAGCGCTTGGGGTACACAGCGGGAGCCTCTCGGGTCCGCCTTGCAGCGTTCCTGGCTCGTCGAACGGCTCCGGAGGCCGTCTCGGCACGACCTCGAGCACGGGCCGACGATGTTGTGGCCATCGGAGCCGAAGGTATCGGATTGGGTCGGGTCGGCCAACCTTTTGCCTTCCGTCTTACCTCGTGGTCCTCCTTCGCTTCCTCATCCTGCGTCCCCTCCTCATACCCCTCCTCCGCCTGCTTCCCCCATGCCCCCTTTACGGGGAGATTGATGAAACCCCCCTCCTAGCAACGTCGATCAGCGAGCTGCCCTTCAGATATGTTCGTCCGCCTGATGTGGCCCCTGGTTGTTTCCGCGAGAGTGTGTTTTTTATGTTATTTCTTAGGGCCCCCCGACGGTGTGGTGACGACACCGTGTGATGGGTCAGTGGGGATTCGGGGTCACCGCGCGGCGCTGGTTCTCGGGTCCGCATAGTAAAGACGGGCAACCTTCCCAAGGGTACCCTTGCATCCTTGCCTCCTCGGTGCATCCTTGGCCACTTTCGTTGGCCGCGCCCCGCTCGAAAACTTCGAGATGGGCTTCCAGGGGCCTTGCATCCTTTTCGCGCCTCCTTACTACACGGGTTGACCGCATCGGGTGACTGGGGCCTCCAGGGTCGCACCACCATGCGGCGGCGGACCGCGCGGTGAGGCTGTTTGCGGTTCCAGGGTCGCCACGCGGTGCGTCCCCGGGCGGTGTTGTTTTGGCGCCACGCGGCCTGGGCTCGGGCCCCGAGGGCCCTCGGCTCGAGAGGGCCTCGAGCCGAGGGAGGAAAAAACACGAGGAGCGACGTCGCCCTGCCAGATCTCGTGTTCGAGGGGCCTCACAGTTTGTAGAGACGGAGGACGAGACCGCCCCGCCTCCCCGCCAAATGCTTGCGAGTGGCAGAGCACGCCGTCCCTGTCCCCTGTCCCCCAGTGCGCACCGTCGCGAGGGAGCTGGTTGGAGGGGTGGTGCTAGGGGCGATGGTCTAGGGAGGAGGCGCATTTGCACTTTTTTGTGAAACACTCAGCATGGGGCCTGTGAGCACCAGAGTGGGGAAGGCAAAGCACTGCAGAAGGGCAGAAGAGTCAGAGGTCTTGCACACGAGGGGCTGGGTCCCGTCTACGCCAGGATCCGTCCTACTGTGCAAGTTTCAGCGCAGGGCCGGAAAAAGAGTCGGTGTATGGAGTCGGGGAGTTTCTGACCCGGGTCCATCCAGACCCGGGTCAGTCAGGCCTTGCAGACTCCTGCAACATCCTGCAAGATCCGGCACCCCAACCCGGGTCAATGCGAATGATCCTGCAAGATCCTGCAGGATCTTGCACCCAAGCCCAGGTCAACGCGACCCCGGCCTTGCAGGATCCTGCAAGAGCGGGCGCTCCTGGCTGACCCCCGTTTGCATCGACCCCCGTCTCCAGGCTCCCGGTGGAGGTCGGGCCCCTGCCGATGCCCAGGCTTGGCATCGCTCGGACGTGTGTACTCTTTCCTCGGCGAGGACCATCGAGGAGCATCCGTGATCATTTCGCGAAAAAGCCACGCACAAAACCGGAAAAAAAACACAGGGAATGGACGTCCGAGCGATGGCCAGCAGGGGCCGCCCCTCCCCCGCAGGCCTCCCGCGCGGCGCCCGCGCGCGCGCGGCGCGCGGCGCGCGCCGGCGGAGGCCTCGAGGCCGCCCGCCGCGCGGGCGAGGGAGGCGGCCGTGGCCTCCAGGCCCCCGGAGGCGAGCGGCGCGGGGGCGGTGCTGCGGGGGCGGCCAGAGGGGGGGGGCAGCTGGCACGCCCGGCATCGCTCGGGCATGTGCATTTTTTCTCGGCGGGGGCCATCGAGGAGCATCGTTGGATCAGTAGGCGAAAAAAACAGAGGGAATGGACGTCCGAGCGACGGCCAGCACGGGGTCAAGTCGGGCCTGTCCCTCTGCAGGAGGAATCTGAGAGAATAGGCGCAAGATACTCTGGGGACGTGTTTTTTTATGATTTGGCTCATTTTGAGTTTTTGAGGGTGTTTTTATTGTTCGTCCAAAATCCCCCTCTAGGTGGACATGCCCGACCTAAGCATAGGGGGATGCATTGATTAGGTGTTCGACCATGGACCCCTTGTTCACTGCAAGCGTCTTGCTTTCAAGCCGAAGACAGCCGGAAACCGAGGAAAGTCAAAGAAAGTTTTCAATCGCCCAAGTCCGTCAGAAGACCGTCAGAAGACCGCAGAAAACCGCCGAAGACCGCCGACGACCGCCACGAAGACCGCCCAGGGCCAGTGAGTAACAAGGGGTCTATCGTCGAATGCGTAGTGTCGACCCCCAATCGCCCATTGATCGCGTCTCTTAGTCCCGCCCCGCCCAGGAAGGTGCGGATTCGCAATACGGGGGCCTCTCGCCGATCCATCGACGATGTATCGTCAATGACGGCAGTCAACCCGTATAGTAGGAACGCATAATAAGGATGCAATGGCCTCGGAAGGCCATGTCGACACTTCGCGAGCGGGTCGCGGCCAGCGAAAGCGGCCACGGATTGGCCGAAGGGCAAGGATGCAAGGTTAACCTTTGAGAGTTGCTCATCCTTACTATGCTGGTCGACTGTAGGACGGGGCGGATCTCATTGTGGAGGCCACGGTATCTCTCCAGATTTCACGGCGCTTCTTCTTATTTCAATACGTTCCCCCACCCCCCTGTGTTGCACCCATGCCGCTGGTGAGCAACCGCGTGAGCTCCCGAGCTCAACCGATCGGACATTTCTAGCAACACGCGAAAGTTATCAGGAGTAGTTTTCGGAAGTTGTCGAGGTGTGGCGTGGTTTCCATCAGCTGCGCCTCGTCGGGAGCGTTCCAGGGATGCCAGAATCGTCCCGAACGGCCGCTGCAGGCCCGATGTGTGGCTCATGACCCGAAGGCTGGACGACGAGGAACACCGGGAGGGGTCAGGCCCAGGGGAGAATGTGCAGAGCAGAGTCCATCCGCTTCTAGAAGACCAACATTTGGAGCCTATGCGAAATACTTTTCTCACTCTCAAACCACAAGGGTCTATCGAAGACGCCTACGGCGAATCACCGCCGCCCCCTGCCTTTTTGGAAGCGCCTATGTGGCCGAACGTTGAGGCCAGACCTGCCAAGCTATCGGACCACGTGTTCCCCGAATCGGTTTGGAAAGCCTTCGGGGAACACGTGGGTATCTTGAAGGTCATCTTGTCCGTCTTGGAGGCCTCTTGGGCAAGCTTTGGGCGATCTTTGGGGCTTTTTGGGCCGTCTCGGGCCAGCTTCGAGCCAACTTCGGCCATCTTGGTGGGTTCCTGGCACGTCTGAAGCCGTCGGAAGCCGTTTGGGGGGCCTCTATGGGCCCGACTTGGGGCCCCGCTTAGAATGCTCCAGGGCCGTCTTGGAGGCCATCTTTGGCGTCTGGGAGGCCATCTTGGGCGTGTTGGAGGCCTCTTGGGCCCTCTTGGGGCTCTCTAGGGGCCATCTTGGAGGCCACTTGGGCCATCATGGGGCTCTCTTGGGGGCCTCTTGGGCGATCTTGGGGGCTTCTTGGGCCGTCTTGAGCCGTCGGAGAGCCGAAAAGGCGCAAATCCAAAATCCTTCAAAAACCAACGGAAAATCAATGATTTTGGCCTCTTCGGACTCTCCTGGAGGACCTCTTGGAGGCCTCTTGGGCCGTCTGGGAGGCCTCTGGGGGGCCTCTTGGGCCGTCTTGGGCCGTCTTGGACTCTCTTGGGCCGTTTTGGAGGCCGTCTTGGGCCATCTCGGGCGGACTTGGAGGCCATCTTGGGCCATCTTCGCGATTTTTTGAGGATGTCCCGAGTGGAAAAAAAAAGATCAGCTACAAATTAAAAAAAAAGGAAAAAAAATAAAAAAATTTAACGGAACGGGGCCGTTTTTGGGCATTGACAGACGGATTTTCGGGAATTTACGCGTGGCCGGCGGGACGGGCC